TTTTTTTTTTTTTCTTGAGGCAGGGTCTTGCTATGCAGTTTAGGCTGGCCTCAAACTCACAGCGTTTCTCCCCCCTCAGCCTCCCCAGTGCTGGGGTCACAGGCTTGTGACACCATGCCTGGATTTCCTTTAATACTGAAAAACAAAAAACCAAAAGATATTGAGCTGGGTGTGGTGGCACACACCTGTAATCCTATTATTGGAAGCTGAGGAAACAAGATCCCAAGTTTGAGCTTAACCTGGGCAATTTGGCAAGATCTGTTTCACAGCAGGCAGCGAAAGGCAAGATCTGTTTCAAAGGGTTGAGGATGCAGCTGCATGAAGGCCTTGGTTCCATCCCTAGTACCTCAAAAAAAAAAAAAAAGACACTGACTTCAGATTCCAAGGATGTCAGGAGGTAATGTACCAGCAAATGGGTTAAATTAGCACACCCATGTTTATAGATGTTTTCAGCCCTCCCTAAACTGATCTACAGATTCCACAAGTCCATGAAAACACCAACAGGCTTTTTGTGGAAATTAACAGAATGATTATAAAAGTTTATATGGAAATGCAAAGCACAGGAATAACCGATCTTGAAGAATAAGTTGGAAGACTTCCACTACCTGATTCTAACACTACCTATAATAGGGTGTCTCCTCCGGAGTTGTCCCTGCTTTTTGCCCTGCTGAAAGGTTGTTGTACCACACTAATCTTATTATGTGACCTCTCTTTTGCCTGCCATTCTAAATTCTAAACAGAAAACCAACCAGAAGCAGAAGATGTTAACTGCTAAATCTTTTAGAACTACAAAACTCGTATTTGTTGACCTTCGTAATGCTTCTCTTTAGTCTTTACTTCTGTGTAACTAACACAAAACATATAAATTGATGTCAGCTTTTTAATATGTCCAGCTAGGTGTGGTGGTGCAACCTGGGAAGCTGAGGCAGGAGGTCCAAGAATTGAGCCCAGCCTGGACTCCAATGGTAGCTAGATTTTGTCTCAAACTTTACAAATGAGCCAGGTATGGTGGCACATGCCTGTAGCACTCAGGAGGCTGAGGTAGGAGGGCTGCTGCAAGTTCAAGCCCAGCCTGAGCTACATAGCAAGACCCTAACTCAAGAAACCAAATATAAATAAAATAAGAATAAAAGACTGGGAATGTAGCTCAGTCCAAAAGTTCTGAGTTCAATCCCTGGGGACCCCCTCTCCCCACCA